TCAATATTTCAATATTTCAATATTTCAATATTTTAATATTTCTATATTTCTGTATTTCAATATTTCAATATTTCAATATTTCAATATTTCAAAATTTCAATATTTCAGTCTTTTAATATATCAATATATCAATATATCAATATTTCAATATTTCAATATTTCAATATCTCTATATCTCTATATCTCTATATCTCTACATCGTACCTCTGTACCTCTACATCCCTATATCTCTGTATCTCTGTATTTCTATATCTCTATATCTCTGTATCTCTACATCCCTACATCTCTATATCTCTGTACCTCTATATCTCAATATCCCTGTATCCCTATACCTCTACACCTCCACATCTTCACAAATGTACACCCCGAAATCTCAACATCCATACCACTAAATTCCATCTTCGAATCTAAAACCCCAAATACCAAATATTCCCATCGAAACCAAAGAGAATCAATTGAAAGAACACTTCAGTATCTGCCCATCATAAAAGCAATCCTTCCAAACTTCTTTCAAACGTCTCCCCGAGATCACATCTTACCATATTAAATGCCATCAAGATACCATTCACAATCCAACAGTTCCCAAGGCACAGAACTCTTTTTTACCCTTCCTGGATAGCGTGCACCCGAAATCCGAGGGATCTTTTTTCCAGACATCTCATCCGAGAACTTCTTATCTTCATTCAAAAGTTCCCGAGGGATATCGCCGCCCGGGCGAGTTCGGAGAATTGAAAATATCGAAAAAACGCAATTCCCCCCGAAGGATCCAGCGGCGCGAGACAAATTCCGACTCGTGTCCGCGGAATTGCGGCGAACAAGTTCGCCGGAGACGCGCGGTTTTCGCCTCCCCGGGCCGGCGGGGTTGCATGTAAACCGCATAAACTCGCCTCGTTGCGGGAGTTTCCAGATTTTTATGGTTCCCCGCCGTCCCCGTCGCCCCCGCTCCATTCCGCGTCCCTCCCGCTCCTGTTTTGTTCCCGCTTTCGCCAGACATCTCGTCACGGAGGACGCGATAAACGACGGCCGAAACTTTACGCCGCACCGTCGAAACGAAACAGCGACGCCGTTGTGCAACTATCGCTGTTCGTATTTGCAATAATTGTCAATTTGTTCGTCACGATGCGTTCCGCGCGGCACACTGCCGGCGGTTCCGCGATAAATTCCGAGAAATTTTCAGCAAATGCGTTACGCCTCTCTGCGTCGAAGCGAATCGATGCCTCGAGTGGGATCGTAACTTTGTGTTTTATGTGGAAAGTATACGCGTGGCTGGTTGCTGCAAGCAATAATCGGACTAATCGTTGGAAATGATTTTTTCAAGATAGGGACATGCTTTATTAGCGTAATGTAATTAAACTTTCGATGGTCTCGGAAACTTAGATTATACTGTCGTTTTGTGCATTTTTGTATTGTCACTATATTCTAGTCTTTTATGCTGTCTATATTATTATTATTATTCTTACTATTAACCGTTTTGTGGACTTTTGTATTGTCACTATATTCTAGTCTTTGATGCTTATATTATTATTATTATTCTTACCATTAATATTGTCATTATTATTATTACTAGTCGCGTGGATTTTTATAATATATTATTTTCCAGCATCGAGAATTAACATTTTGATGCGACGCCTTCACAGAGTACAGGGCGTAATGGATTAAATGAGTTTTAATTTTGCAGGTGCTCGTTAATTTCTCGGAGGAAATGGACACAGAGGTGGAAGGCTTGACGTACAGCCGGGATAGCAGCAACAACGTGTCGAGCACCTACTCCAGCAGGGACACCATACACATGGAAACGTTTTGATTAATTTCCCACGTTAGTTCGCTCGATTTTTATGGGATTTCCAGTAATACTTAATTCAAGCCACACGTAACACGCGGATCTGACGTCCCTCGGGACGCAGGTCGGCGCGAGCCCTGTGATAGCTCAGTTTCCTCCGTTTAGTACCAGATCTCCGTACAATAAGAGCCTGAAACCACCTATTACTTAAACAAGAGAATCAACGCACACCGCCAGAGACGGGCAAAACGAAACAGAGCCGACACAACGAAACGAGAATAAGAAAACGTTGAATTTTAGCTCAATTTTAAAGAAACAGTTTCTCTTAAGGTCGTTACACGAGCAACGCGTTTTATCCTATAATCTTAAGCGATCAAAGATACCGTAGTAAGATCATGAAACAAAGAACCCAAAAATGATGAAGATACTAGATACGATCATAGAGAGCATGTAAATATAAATATATTTTTATAGACTATAGCGATTAGCAGTGTTATCCATTTTACTACAGACTATCAGTATCGAAATAAAACAAAGATCACATGATACACAACATTCACCCCGCCGATTTTAAACAAATATACACAACTAGGCGTAAGATCTATACTTATATCACTTATTAGTACTATTAACTCTCACTTCGCGAGATAATTCCAAGAACGAAGCTCCCTACGAAACGAGCCAGCGCGTCTTTTATCCGTAGCGTTAATTGTTAAAGTTAAGTCCTACGTTGCTCACTACCTTCACAATAAATTAACTACAAGAAACACCGTACGTATAGTGCGCTCACCGCGTTTTTACCAAACGTTTGACTTAATTCATTCGCATTCGCACGTCGTCGCGTGATGTATCTGTTGCAGCGAACCTGGCACTTTCGTCTGATTGGCCAGATCTAAAGGTACACGCCCTTCCTACATGAATATTCAGACAAAGAGTGGGGAGCGCCGTTTCCAGGCTCGCTATTGGAGTTCTCCGAGCGACTGTCTCCGCCCCTATGACGTCACGAGTGCCAGGTTCGCTGCAACAGGCCCTCCATTCACGTTGAAAATCAAAGATATCGTTGCGAGTAATGGGTTTGAGTCTTCCAACGTTTCATTATACACGTTGCACTGGAACAAAAACTGAGGAAGGCTCAAACCCATCGTTCACAGCGATCTTCCATCGTCGAAAGTTTCAACGTGTATAGACCTTAAGGGCCTCTGCACACGAGCAATTTTGAAAGAACAAAGACGTGACAGAAAAACTCTGTTCGTCAGTTACTCGAAAACAAGAAAGAAATGTGTATATTTCTCATGACGATTGATCAATTGCTGAGCTGGTGATCTAGCAACAAATCCGTATAATGATGAGAAACATATATATTTCTTCTCTTTCGATAGTATACGTTCTATAAGATGAAATTTGCTCTGTATACGTGAAACGAACACGAACACGAAATCGCCATCGTCACCGCGAGATCGCGCGGCTCGTGCGCACAGGCCCTAAATCGTCGTATCGTTAATCGATAAGCCGCACACGGCGCCGCTAGTATTATTATTTAGAATTTTAATTAAGGGTCGGTACACAGAAGGCGGGCTGGATGTCCCGGCTGTAATTCCGGGATGCAGCGACTGGTTTCCTGGTTCGACACACATCGGGTCCCGATAAGAGCCCCGTTCGCGCGCGATAAACTCGGATCGCGTTCGCAGAAAATGAAGAAACCGGGTCAGCCGTTCGAAAATTTCCACGTACGCCCGATAACACGTTACGTTTATCGGATACGGCCGCGTGTCGTTTTCCCCGCGCCGGGAAACCGACCGATGCGATCGATTGGTTGTAGGTTTACACCCCCGCCAGGACGCAACACGGTCTTGCCGTGGCTGTTTGTTGACCCTGCTACGGTTCTCGGTTCGGCTGTGTATTCGAGGTATTATTGGAAAGAGCGGAATAGCAACGTGTTCCTGCGACAACCTCAAATTCGAATTAAACATATTTTTAATACGTTCGATCGCGAACGACTCGATATTCAGTCGGAGAACACTCGAACTGAAGGGAATGTGATTATTTTTATTATGAGTAGGAATGTGATTATTTTTATTATGAATAGGAATATGATTATTTTTATTGTGGATTGTTTCATTGAATTGCGTTGTTGTTATTGCAAAAGCGATTGCCACAAGGAAATTTTATTAACGGAATCAGAAGACGACTAAATTGAAGATCGGCTCGAATGATTCGAACGTAGCAGGGGTAACTGTTAACTACCGAGTGCTTCGAACGATTAATATGTAACAAGTCTAAGAATTACGATTATAAATTCATGTTTGTTTGATGTTGCTCGTAACTTTAAGAAAATTGAAACCAGTCGGTTCGATCGATAGTACTAGTGTTCAGGTTTTCACCGGGAACGTTTATTTTTGCTACTTAACGCGAGGCGAAAATTCTGCAGGAATGTACGAATTCAGAGTTCCTTAATAAAGATGTTTTTTAAACGGTTTCAATGGCGATCGTTTGCTTCTCGTATGAGTGATCTGTTTAGGGACCATGGAATATTTTACATGTGCCTGTAAATTCGATGGAAGAATAATTCAAAGGATTCGTATTATATTACACGAGTTTTCGGTGAAATGTGATTCATTTTTTAGTGTACACCGTGTAGATGCGCGGTAGAAGTAGGTAGGAAGATAGTTAAAGAAATTTCAGACGCGTGAAGTTAGAATCCTTGACTTGGACAACTAAGGGAGATAACGGTTGATTATCGTTACAGCAGATCGTGATAATGGAAACATAGCGATGTTTGATTAACCGATGGTAGATACGATCAATCAGATAGCGTCATTGCGAAACTATTTGTGAAGTAACGATTGCCCGGCGAAATATCTGGTATCAGTCTTGATAAAGTTTCCATTAAGGAAACCGTTATCCTACAGCGAGGTCTCTAACTAATTGGAAAACTTTCGAACTTTCAGGTGACGTCGATGCCTTTTTAAACGGTGTTCACGACAAATTCTTAACAGAAGAATTTTCTTTTAAAATAGACAACTGGTGGAATTGTAAAATTCAACGTGCATCAGATCGAGGCGTTAAACTTATCGGTAAAGGAACTTCCGTCGCCACGATTTTTTCGTTGTATATCTACGGAGTTTATCTGTATTTACGTCGCTCCGTTAATTGCTTCCCCTTTATCCTGTTTTTCAGGCACTTTCTATTTTTACCTGTTCCCTCGCCCTGTTATCGTTATTCCATATCTTCTTTTCACTTTTATACGCCTTATCGAATGATTCTTACGTAATCAGCGTTTCGATCTGCGCAAGGAGCACGAGATTATTGTTATTATCTTGATAAAGTACGGCAGATTGGATTACTCTCTGATAAATAATCGTGGAGAGCTCATTCTGCATGACTAAGAGGCCTAAGTAACAACTTGCCATTTAGAATCTCTGGTGAAATATTTTCTATTTTTCGATGTCTTATTCTGTTCATAGAATGTGAAAATTATAGAGGAATTCTTTCGTGCGAAGGACGCGTAATTTCCGTTTCAATTAGAAGAATATTTTCGTAGTTAGAAGCGCTGCGAACCTATCGTGAACGTCGATATCTACACCTGCATGAATTACGTAGTCGATATGCCTTCGATAAGGACTCGCAATCGCGGCCTATCTTCAATGGAGAATTTCCCTCTGCGCGCGAGTCGAGCTCTCCTAACGGCATCGACGAACCGCTCGAATGATGTAACCCGTTACGATACGATTACCACGTCCGTTACACTGGTATCAATGGGTTTTTCACGTGCCCTTTCTAATCTTGCCAGTTATAAGATAACCGTGGATGTATGAAGCCCTGTACACGCGTCGAAGCACGTTGCGATGCACATGTTAACACTAGAAGCATTTCATACGATTAACATGCAATTCCTATAAAAATTGTAGGAATATATTATTTTCAGTTTCTTCGGACATTCATTATAGTACTCAAATGAAGCTATTTGTTTTCAAAATCATTTCGAATATCCAATGCTTCGGAGATATCAATAATTGCTAAACAAACAAATCGAAACATTTTGACTGGCACGTAGTTCTAATTTCTTTTAAAATTATCCAATGAATAACATATATATTCTATCAATCCTTTCGAACTTTATAACATCACTTTGCTGTAATTAGTCGATGCTATTTTTATCGTCCACCATTTTCTATTCATCAGCAATGAAAGCATCGCGCAGACACACGAAAATAGATACAGGGGGAACGTGTTATCCAGAAGTTTCAATACAGTTCATTAATGTCGTGCCGACTCGATTAAGTAAATTGTAAAGGGATTCGCCGGAAGGGAACCTGTTACAGTTGTCACCGGCAGACAGGAAAAGGGACACGGAAATAATATCCATCGCAACGGGAAACAGCTGCTGACAGAATCGTTCCGCCGTCCTGTCTCCCCTCGTTAACTATGGAATAATAATTTCATCGAACGAGCCCGGTCTCATTATTCTTCCCGCAGCCGCGACCGTCTCCCACCCCCCTCTTTTCTTATTTATAACGGCGATTATTCGTGGATTTGTCGACCGCACATACCGCCGCGCGATATTATTACGGCCGGCTCCTCACGGCCGATAAAACTCGAATTAATGTTACCGAGAGACTTTTCAGCTCCTCCGAGACACGAACACCGGAGTGTCGAAATCGATTTGTACGTGTCCTCGTCGCTCCTTCCATTTGTTCCGCTCTTCTGACTGGAGCTCCTCTTGTTCCTGGGCTGCATTTATTTGTAAACAACCAGGAAAGGAAAGTACCTATGGTCGATTAACTTTCGAAGATACTGAAGTTCGAAGTTTCGGCGCAGAAATATTTGGATATGTGTTACTTGTCTTTGTAATCTTTACTTTGAATTTTGGGGGTTTGGAGTTAATGGCTGGATATTTGGAATTTGGGTTTGATAACTTGAGATTTGAAGTTTGATGTTTGATAGCTTAAGATTTGAAATTTGAAAACTTGGAAGCACAAGTTATTAAATTTGAAAATTTCAGTTTTCCAGATTCCCAAATTTCAAATCTCAAGCTATCAAACGTCAAATTTCAAAGCTCTAGTTTTCAAATATCGAACGCTAAATCACAAATGATTAGATTTCAAATCTTAAATTTGAAAACATGGAATTTATAATTTGAAATTTAATAACTTGTGATTTGACGGTCGATATTTGAAAACTAGAGCTTTGAAATTTGACGCTTGATAACTTAAGATTTGAAATTTGATGTTTGGAATGTGGAAAGCTGAGATTTGAAACTTGAAAACTTGAGATTTGGAATTTGACGCTTGAGAACTTGAGACTTAAAATTTGATAGCTCAAGATCCAAAATTTGAAATTCTGTTGGTCCACTAAACAACCTACACTCATCCCTCACACTCACCAACTCCCGAATCGAAAAAATTGAAAAGACCAGTTTCCAGTGTCTAAAACCTCTAAAACAACCTCCCCTCCCGCTGCTAAAATTAGCCGCAAATATAAATCCAGTTTTAACCTTTACTAGCCACTTCACGGGTCCCGTCGGCCGGGGAATTCCAAATCAAAGCCACATCTTCCGACTTCTTTCCCTGCCCGATTCTTTATTAATCAGATAGCCATTAAGGTCGTCCCGACGTGACCGTCTCCAGACGAATGGAGCCTTAAAGCCTCGGCTAAAATTAGCGAGCATGCTAAGGAGTGCTCCGCACCGAATTGGCTACGTGACGGGACTATCATGGCGGCCGGGCGCGGAAGATGGCCGTTCCCGATGGAAAGAAACGGAAGACAGGGATTAAGTTCCGTCGATACAACGGGACACGATATTACCACCCCCGAAAACGGGTGGCTCGCAGGAAGAATAGGGAATTAGACGGGTTGATCTTGAATGAATCTACGGGGGATAGATTAAGCAGAATCTCGCGCGGCTAACGATTTATCGTCGTTCGGTGTCCCTTCTTTTTATTTCCACGACGCGGCCGATGCAATCGACTGGATCAATAGCGGGACCGAGCGTTATTCAAATTGTTTCGGGTAAATATTTCGGAATTAATGCCTTAACAATTTATTTCGCAATTTAATTTCAGGTAATTAAGCGAGCGAATTCCTATTATCCTAATACTTCGTTGGTTTATTCATTCTGCTCGCGATAAATTATTTCCTGTATCAAATTGGACATCGTTTGTATCATTCATTTCCTTTATTTACTCTTCAAGCTTTGAATGTACACTTATTTTATCTGTATTTCTACATAATATTTTTAATCTTACGTGTATAAGATAAAATTGACTTTATTAGTTACGACAGTTTCAGAGTATTTACTACGTTCATTTTGTTATAATATAATAAAACAATATAAAAACAGTATTAAATGCTCGGTAGTTTTAGTGTTAATATATGGAGTAAAAGAACAGCTGTTCCAAAGATTTCTCTATATTCGTTATATTTTACTTATTATTCTAATCAAATTTCATTCCTCAATCGCGAGACGAATTCAAGGTCGGTGCATTCGTGATCCACGATAGTTTACATCGACCTTGAAGCGAAGCATAAACATTACAGATCACCATTTAACTTCCAGTCAACCGCGGTAATTCGTATACTTCGTGTTCTCGATTAATCAGCATTTTCTTCGATTAATTTGTGCTTCCATCGTCGAGTGTTGACAAGAGTCTCGAATATCATCGAAAATGTTTTCAACTCGCCGCTGAGGTATGATAGCGTCGAATTTCCGCGAGCATTAATTAAATTCGAATTGCCGCGCGCGTCATTGTCGGCCGGCAACAATCATCATGTTAAATAACGAACGGCCGGCGATGTATTATCTATTATGAACAGTCGTTATTAATAATTCAATGTATCGATAATTTGGGAAACTGTTCGGCGGCGGTGAAAATAAAACGTGGGCGAGGCTATCCCGCGTCTGCGATCGCTCGTTCTAATCACGGCTGCTAATGAATCGCTAAATAATCATGGTGCATTTAGCAGCGCTACTGTTATCGCGAATTTGTGGGAGACTCTACTTCGTCGACGTTTCCGTCGTCGCTTCGGGTCAGGAAGAGTGCAGCGTTGTTTTGATACGATGTTGATATTACGACGCTTCGTCGGGGATATCAAGATTATTATTATATGTCAGTTTTTTTAGACATTCATTGTAGTATTCAAATGAAACTATTTATTTCCAAGATCATTTCAATTATTGAATGCTTTCAAGATATTAATAATTGCGAAACAAAAAGATCGAAACCAGTCATTTTGACTGGTATTCTCATCACAAATGTGTGATCGTATAAATTTGCAATCCTATCAAATATAAATTCGCAATTAACGTTTAAAGATTAGAGGAATCAGACACAAAGTGGATCATCCCAAATATTTTTGAAGCACGAATAATTCTCGCGCATTCAAATAGAATTAATCGAATAGTTTCGCTCGCAGTTTCACGAGACTTCATTAACCGGTCGTCTAATTAAAAGTCCGGTAATTAATCCCGCGATCGACTCGCGTAGACACCGTCACGGCCGCGATCAAAGTGGATCCCTTAATCTTTCAACTTCGCCGAGCCATTAATGGCCGCTCAGTTCCGAACTAGTCCGCGGAATAGACAAATTATCCGCGTTCTTAACGACGCCGGACAGAATGATGGATCGATGATCGGTGTCGCTTGACTACGTGTCGTAACGATATCAATTTGCCATCAATTTACATGTAATCGATGCAAGGGATATCGGCTAAGGCGCCGCGGAGACGCGTCTGTCGGGACAGAACTTGAAAACTCCGGGGCGGAGACGTATCTCCGTGAAGCTGCGGCTCAGAAAATTGTTTTCCGCGTCAACTTTTTTACTCGTTGGGAATTTCCATAGGAATATAAAATACCTCGTGAAACAATATCAAAATTGAGCATGTCTCATTCGGTAAACACACGTTTCTACTCGTTCAAGGACGTTCAATTTGAAAAACATATCGCTTTTCTCTGGAAATGTTACGTAAGTTGTAGAAATCGATAATATCGCAGACTCCATTACGAGAGCCAATGAATAATTACATTTTGCAAATCGATCTCTCAATATTCACCATGGTTCTCCAACAACCCACGCCATTTTCAATAAACCAACAGAGAAGCATCAGCTTCAAACAAACTACATTCACTCAAACGATTCAGTTCTAATTACCGTATCCAGCAATAATAAAATTAACGTAATAAATACTCTGAAACTTTCGCAACTAATAAACTCAATATCCTTCGATATCTGTTCAAGTCCGCCATTAGTACGCTCCAGTGTCTAACCTCTACCGTTTGCACTCGAAAGTTCTTCACTAATATTCAACATTTCCCGACGATATACAGACGACATTCTCTGAAACTAATTTAACAATAATTCACAGATAAATCAAGCAACAAGGCTATTTTATTTAAATATCTCACAGCAATACAAAGTTCCATTTAAAGTACCAAATATTCAACTTTATAGTTTTGTTAGATCAATTCAAGTGACTGAGAGTCACCGTTCGAGTGCAAAGGGTTAAATTATTGCGGCGATGCCCTTCACTCGCAGGATCGGCGCGCGATTCAGCTGCGGATGAACGAAGCCGGCTTTCGAAAGATCTATTTCCGGCGCGGTTTGTTACGTAGCTGCGACGAACGGTCTCGTTCGATTTCGTTAAAATTCCGGGGAACCCGGCCGCGGAATTATTACGAATGTTATTCCTCGGTGAGGCAGTCGCTCTGAATGCGAGCAACCGAGCGCCTTCGGGAAACCGGCTACGCAGCAGCTCCGGCGAAACTTGGAAACAACTGCTGTCATTCGCAGATGCGCGCACCATCGCGACGACAACGGCGACATTCCCGGAATATACATTCCCGATTTGGCTGCCGTAAGAAAGTAGGCTGCCTGCGTAGGCAGTCCGCGTGTCTTCGTCTCTGGATCCACGTTTGTCAGAGGTTTTCGTGAACACCAGTGGATTTAAGGGGAATCAGAGTGGTTAACGTGTTAAGCGCCATGAAAATAAGCGTTTTCCCTAGAGCTTTTCTTTTGTAGCGAAGGAAATGCAATGATTAATTATTTGGCGTTACAATGTTTGCATTAGAGTACTATCAATTTAGTTATTAAACATTTTCATTTGATATTGGTTATCTTGTTACGGTTGTTTTCCAGTCATTTAGCAGAGATAGTCACCAGTGACTGACATGGCGCTTATGTTAATGCTTTGGGTACACTTGAGTTAACAGTAACTGGCTGAACTCAAGTTCGAAAATTCTGCGTTCCCTTTCGTTCACTTAATTTTATTATATTTATTTAGTTTTTCTATGTTTTTTCTTTTGTTTCTGTTTCCACTAAGGATAGTTTATCAAGTATTGCTGGAATTTCTTGTTTTATTTTTGTCATCGAGATCCTTGGCGCACGGTTGCTGTTCCTGTTCAAACGAATGTACCTTGAGGAGCGATTTGCTTGTTATAGAGCGAATCGGAGGACCCCGTTGTTTGACCCTTGCTAGCTTTAGCGCACTCGATCGATCAATAAGTGTCTTTTGCGGAATAAACGTCGGGGTCACGATGGAACGCTGATTAAGGCGCAACATTGAGGGGCAATCTATACTGATTAGTTGGACATGTTCGAGTCTGCCTATGTGTTGTGTTTTCGTGTCTTCTGCTCTAGCAGCTTTGAAATTCACATATTCAAAAACCTTCGTTATACAGGAATGTTTCCATTATGAAGATAATAAGTAGTAATTAGATAAAAGGTGAATAGTCTCTAAAGTTCGATATAATGTCAATATTTTCAATAATCAGCGAATAATGACGGCACTTTGCACCACTTTCGATCTAAAATCTCAGATTACCACTGCCATCCTCCATCGTTGCGTTTCATTAACTTGTCACTGAAATGTGTAATTACTAAAAGGGAATACCACGATTAATATCTACAATAATCAGCGAATAATGACGGCACTTTACACCACTTTCAATCTAAAATCTCAAATATTTCCATCCTCCATCGTCATGTTTCATTAACTTGTCACCAAGACATATAATTTCCAAAAGGGAATACTACGATCAATATCTACAATAATTAGCGAATAATGACGGCACTTTACACCACTTTCAATCTAAGCTCTCGGATTACCATTTCCATGCTCCGTCGTCGTTACGTCTCATTAACCTGTCACCGAGACATATAATTTTTCAAAGGGAATACTGCAATCATCTCCAACGTTACGTCACGAGGCTGCCCGACAGTAGCTACCCTTCGAATCTGCCTAACCTCAGGGAAGAATACTTCCGGGGAACTCCTGAATTCCGGAGTTCCAGCCATTAGTCGTTACACAGGGCGAATCCGCAGCATTCACGGTGTCTTCGTGACACGGCGGGAGGACCATTCAGTCGGATGCTCTATCAACATCTCAAAGATATCCCTCTTCATCCGGCGAGGGCGAGTCGGACAGAGTCGAGTAGGTTAATCTTCGGAGGGTTGTTCGACGCGTCGATCCCGCCTCCGGAACTCGAAGTGGTCGCGCGACTTTGAATTCGCGATCAGGCCAATTCCGTTCCCGTGACGCGTGTCATCGTCGGACAGGGAATAATTCATTTCTTCAGTTTCTAATCCGCGTAAACTTGTGACCAGATGATGGATGATGGATCACTGTATAGATTCCGTAACGTAAACTCTTACTCAATGATTTCTTCTATAATTAACCTCGTCGGAAGTACTTTGTTACTAGTGATTTACTAGACACAAGATGTTACGCTCATTCTACGTTTACTTTGCTTCACTGCCACGTCGAATTCGAGTGATTTTTCACAGAAACTTGAACATGAGCATGACAACTTGAAACTTGAACATTTTCTCGATAACGAGTCGAATTTTCATGGATAATGAGATATACGAACAGTAGAGCAGTTACAAAGAATTTTGACTTCTGCGTTATTGAGGAAACAGTTCCAGCTGCATGCAAGTTTCGACGAGTACTTGGCAATCAGAGTACAGCGTAATGATTGATACCAGAAGAATAACATTCGATCTGAACTCGAAAGAACGCAATAACATTAGAAGCTACATAAGCAATAACTATATAGACAACATACTAAGAGGCTCCAACAAATGTATCGAATATAGTTTAGTAATCTAGCGTTTAAACATGGAGACATCGTGTACATTCATTTAAATTAACTCATCGCCTAAGTATTCTATCCTACTCGACTCTATCTAAGTCACAGTAGCTAACTTTTCGACGGTGGA